GGGGCAGGAAATTCCCCATCCCCTCACGGGAAAAGGGAGGAAATTCCTCCATCCCTCACGGAAAAAGGGGCAGGAAATTCCCCGTCCCCTCACAGAAAAAGGGAGAAAATTCCTCCATCCCTCACGGCAAAAGGGGCAGGGAAGTCCCCGTCCCCTCACGGAAAAAGGGACAGGCAATTCCTCCATCCCCTCACGGAAAAAGGGAGGCAATTCCTCCATCCCCTCACGGGAAAAGGGGCCGGGAAGTCCCCGCTCCCCTCACAGAAAAAGGCGGGAAACCCCCCCACAACTCTCGCCCCGCCCCGCGCATGCGCGGTGACACAAGGAGCACTCCCCTCCCCCCCCCGCGCGCCCTCCCCTCACGCTTCCCGCCTCGCGCACGCGCGCTGCGCCCGCCGCCCGCCTCAACCGCCGCTCCGCCCTCACCGCCCTCAGCGCGGCCGTTCCCGTGTCCTTCCCTCGCTTCCTCTCCGCTCCTTCCCCGGCCTGTCCCGGTACCGCGGGCGGGAGGGGCCGGGCGGGGTTGGGTGGGGGGGTGTGAGGCTATGAGGGGGAGGGGAAAGCCGCGCGCGCCGGGGTGGGCGGGGCTGCGCATGCGCGTGGGCGGTGAGACCGGGGCTGCGCATGCGCGTGGGCTGTGGCACCGGGGCTGCGCATGCGCGGGGGCTGTGATACCGGGGCTGCGCATGCGCGGGGGCTGTGGCACCGGGGCTGCGCATGCGCGGGGGCTGTGGCACCGTGGCTGCGCATGCGCGTGGGCTGTGACACCGGGGCTGCGCATGCGCGGGGGCGGGGGCGGTGACGCCGGGGCTGCGCATGCGCAGTGGCTCAGGGAGGGCGTGCGGTGAATTTGGCTGTAGGGTTTGATATCAAAGCAGCAGAACATTAATTAATAAATTAATTTAATTAACGGGATTTTAGGGCTTCGCCATGGGCCGCTCGTCCAAGGACAAGCGCGACATTTATTACAGGCTGGCCAAGGAGGGCGGCTGGAGAGCGCGCAGCGCCTTCAAACTCCTGCAGCTGGAGCAGCGCTTCCAGCTCTTCCAGGGTACGGGATGGGAACTGGGAGAACTGGGAGCACTGGGGGAAGCTGGGGGTAACTGGGATCCCAGGAGTCTGGGGTCACTGGAGTCACTGGAGTCACTGGTGTCACTGGGAGTGTCACTGGTGTAACTGGGAGCTGTCACTGGTGTCACTGGTGTCACTGGTGTCACTGGGAGTGTCACTGGTGTCACTGGGAGTGTCACTGGTGTAACTGGGAGCTGTCACTGGTGTCACTGGTGTGTAACTGGGAGTGTCACTGGTGTCACTGGTGTGTAACTGGGAGCTGTCACTGGTGTCACTGGGAGTGTCACTGGGAGTGTCACTGGGAGTGTCACTGGTGTCACTGGGAGTGTCACTGGTGTCACTGGTGTCACTGGTGTCACTGGGAGCTGTCACTGGTGTCACTGGTGTCACTGGGAGTGTCACTGGTGTAACTGGGAGTGTCACTGGTGTCACTGGTGTCACTGGGAGCTGTCACTGGTGTCACTGGGAGTGTAACTGGGAGTGTCACTGGTGTCACTGGTGTCACTGGTGTCACTGGTGTGTAACTGGGAGTGTCACTGGTGTCACTGGTGCCAGGGGTCCGCCGGGCCGTGGATCTCTGCGCTGCCCCCGGGAGCTGGAGCCAAGTGCTGAGTCGGCACCTCAGGTGGGACTGGGAGCACTGGGAGCACTGGGAGCGCCAGACTGGGAGCACTGGGAGCGCCAGACTGGGAGGGTCATGGGCTGGGTGAACTGGGAGCACTGGG